ATGAAATCCAGTAAACGGATACTTAAAAAAAACAGGTCTTTAAATACTTTTTATGTAGATCCGTCCCATTTAACAGTTCGCTAACTATTAAAACAATTGTAAACGAGTGTCATCGCGAATATCTACCTAACTTATGTAATTTGTCATTAAACCGTTCGGCTCCACTTCAATTATCTACTCAAATAGAATGCGCTCGTCAAAAGCTGAAATTCATTCGAACTTGAGGTATTAACTCAGCTCATCCGTTCAGCTTGAACTGTCACATACCTTTTCTCACTGTTTTGTGGAATGGCGGTAAAATTTCATTCAAAGAGTTTACTACTCATTGGTGATGGCAGCACATAATTTCCTTTGTAGTTCACATGGCCTTCAAGGTTTGTGTGCATGCCCTTGTTTTGTATGACCGATTTAACCGTTATTGCACATTGACAGATGCTTCCTGATCTTATGCACGTAGGCGATGAAGATAGCAATCTGAGTAGTGATCGCTTTATTTCATCATCTTAGGCACACATTAACTAGAGAAAAGCTAGGTGTGAGTGTGGGTACTGTTAAAATGCAAACCCACACCCGCTATACAGCCACACCCCCACCTATTCACACCCATCGTCCCTTCTATGCAAAGTTTCAAGTCAAAATTCGAAAATCAGTTCGTCTTTTGCCACGGCATTCATTTAAAAACTACCATAAAAGTACGGTATATCCACAGCAATATACTATGGGCACGAAATTTTTTTAGGACACTCATAGCTCGTTTAGGTCTATATAATACACATAGTCTCAATTTATCAGTAAGTTACTGACTGTTGAATCTATTTTACTGATTATTTAAATCATAGTCAAAAACAAACAAAAATCTATCTATCGTTATTATACCTGCTACATCAGTTAGATAAAATCTCCACAATTGTCTTGCTTTCTCTTGTTAACTTAAATCCCATAGATTAAGTGCTATTGGAACGAAACATGGATAAATTGTTTCTACTTGATAAAGAAATGTTGGTTCATTAACAATATTTTCAATATAAGATGCTTTCGTATTCAATTGTAAATCAACCAAATTTTTAAATCGTGCAACTAACGTTGATTTACCAGCAGAATCTAGCCCAACAATCAATATTCTAGCTGATGTTTCTTCTTGTGAAAAATCAATACAGCTGATCTAGCCTGAAAATATAATACTCATAGTTCAATGACTGACATAATTTTTACTTTCTGCTGTTCATTTTTTAACACAATAACAATTTATATGATGTAATTCTGCACACAAAAACAAGAGTCACATTTCTTTTAAATCAATAGAAAATGATTGTAACTGCGTAGGTGCATCTATATCATAGTTTTTTAATGACAGAAGAAGAAAAACAAAAAGAAAATATTCAAAAAAAATTTATTAAGTAAAACTTCGTTTTGATTTACGTTCATTAAGAAAGCGACGTGAAGGAAAAAAATATTGTTCATGATCAGTAGGTGTTTGTTGATGATTATTATTAGCAACAAATATATATAAATTATTTCCTTTACGTTTATGTGAAAAATAATTCGTTTGGCATGTTAATATAGATAAAAAAGCACGACGAAATCGAACATTAAATGCTGTATAAATGATCTAAAACACAAGATAAAAAATATTTGTATGAAAACAAAAGATTAAAATTTGTGTTTGTTTTTCCTTACTGGATTTAAATTTGATGATATATAACCAAGCCAACTAGTTAAATTTAATAATGATGCTTTTATAGCACATGATGAACAAACAGCTGAAAGTATGTTTAATATTGAAAATGGAAGCCAAGCAACAAGAAAAACAAAGAAAACAATTCCAAGAACTTTCATTGCACGACGTTCACTTGTAGTTTCTGTTCCACCTTTAAATGCATGAACTGCTTTTTTAACAAATGTACTATGAAGAAATGAACGTTGATGTGAATTTGATATTGATGTTGATGGAACTGATGGAATACTAAAAAGTAAATAAGGTTTATTATCATAATGTTTCATTTTTACGCTTGTATAACTTGTCATTAGACTTTTATTCTACAAGAAATTGAATATTAATATATTCTCATGGGATATTTCTTTCTAATTCTGTATTTAATTATTATGTACTCAACAAACAAAAA